GCCCAAAGGGGGGGGGGGGGAAAGGGGAAAACCCCCCGGGGGGGGGGGGGGAATGGTCATGCCACAATCCCTTCTTCCCCATTCTCCTCCCGGTATTTTAGGCACGCATGCACATACACCCAGCGTGAAGCCACCGGGTCCAGGACTTGAACTGTAATTGGCCAGATGGGGATCCAGCACCTCAACTACCTGCTGGCCCCTGGGCTTTGCTTTTGCTGCCATTTCTGCTACTGTGTCCTTCTGCTACGTCTCCTGGCTTCACAGAAACCCAGTTCACCTCAGCTTCTCCCCAGGGCAGTCCCACTGCACTGGGGTCCGGCACTCTCTTCTACAGCCTGAGGCCAGTCCTGCCCCTCTCTGCAGGATGAAGAGGTTCCTTCTGAACCGCATGCCCGTCAATGCCACATTACGCATGCCTTAGCCAGATAGCTTTTATCTAACTTCAAATTCTCTGTATGAAGATTTACCAGAGGATGTGTGTGCTCGTCAGGGAGAAACAGAAAGGCAGAGAGAAAGTACCCCCTTTGTTTCTCCATCCTCTCAGGATTTGGAACACACATGCCCATGTATCTGGTGTGTTTTTCATGTCGCCAGGGCTGGGATTCGATCTGCAGTTGGCCACGTGGGATCCAGCTTCCGATGCACAGTGCTTAGCCACTGCACAGCAGAGCCCGCCGTTAAATTCCATTTTAAACGATCCTAATGACCGGTCGAACTTGAGCCAAAGTGCTGTTCCATGCCCTGGCTGCCACCTTCTCCCACCCAGGCATCCCTCCTCACCGTGTCCCGTTAGGGTTATTCACGCACAAGCATCTCCTCTCCAAGCTGCAGACACCTAGTTCCAACTCACACTCTTGGTGAGGCTCTAACCTTTCAGCCATTCCCCCAGCCCCTGGTGGGTTGCCAGGCACCTCATAAATGCCCACTGTTGCAAGCACTGCCTAAGATGGGGGAAGGACCAGCACCGCCCTGAACCCAGAGTGATGCTGAGCGATGACTGAGCTGTGTGACCCCTGACCTTCACCACAGGCCTGCAAGATAGGAGTTAGCCCGCATTATGCATGCAGGAAGTGAGCACAGAGGGGTTAAGCTACCTGCCCCAGGTCCCACCTCCAGAAAGAGCTGGAGCCAGGGGCGAAGCACAGGTCACCCACCCTCCCTCCGCTCCACCTTGCGGGCGAGTGTGGGAACAAAATGCAACTTGGACAATCGGGGACCCTGAGCCAAATGGGGACAAGTTTCAATTACAGAATGTAATTAACGGCTCACCAAGCAATGCCCTTCTGAAGGGGTCCTTCCAGACTTCCCTTAGTGAATCACTAAGACATTAGCACATTCCTGGTTTCTATGAAGCTCGGCCAAAAGGCCTCCAAAGTAATTAGTTCACTTAAGTAGGCTAAACGTTTCCCTAGCACTGGTTTTCACTGTAATTGGCATCAAGTCTTAGAGAGGGGTGAGAAAGTAAACGGTAGCCCAGCCCCCAGCCCCGGTGGAAATATCCCCCCTACATGTTACAGATGAAATTCACCCCCTTCAGCTTCTTGCACCAGCCAAGCCGGGGGAGCAGGACAGCGGATGTTCCAGCCAGCCCACCAACCGGGAAGGGAAGTCCGTCCCCTGCACCATCCCCTTCCTTCCCCTTCCACAGACCCTGGCGGCTGCTCTTCACAGCTGTCCACCCTGGTCACCATGGAGGCTTCCCTCTCCGAGTGGGCACCCCGAGCAGTTTCCGCCCGGAGCCCATGGGCCTCCCTCCCAGGCATTGGTGGGGAAGGGCACAGTGGGACTGCCAAGGTCAGGAGGGCCACAGTGGCCATCCCATCTCCTCTCATCCCGTTCGTGTGCCCCTCCTGGTCACCGGAGAGGGCGCTCCATCTCCAGCCACCCCGGGTAGCTGTGAAGGCCACCAGAAGGCAGTCTGGGCTCTGAGGCCCACTGGACTCACCCCGTTTCCCCACCCTGGATGCTAACAGCATTCCTTCCTCAAACCCGCTTCCCAGACTGCAGCCTAGTCCTTGCTCGGCCAGACCCTCTCCTGCAAGAGGACGAAGGCACAGCTCCTTTGTTCCAGCTGGAGCCAGGGGCCACCAGGACTCTCACCCCCGCCCAGGTCCTCCTTTCACCTCTGCACCTGAGAACCTCACCAGCGCTCAGCAAGGGAGGAACGAGGTGGAGGGTCACCACCACATCCCTGTCACCACTGTAGGCCCGACTCCCATTCCTAACCCTCCCTAATCCATTCATTCCTTTAACAACCATTTATTAAGCACCTACTGTGTGTTGGGCACCACTCCCGGTGCTCAGAATGTCCCAGTGAATAAAGCAGATGAAAATCCTGGCCCCGGTCAGACTGACGTGGCAAAGAAGATAAACAGATACCAGAGCACAGCAGGTGGTAAAAGGCGATGAGGAGAGAAGACCAAGGGGAGAGGTTGAAATGTTAGACTGGAGGGCCGGGGACATGGACGTCAGGATCTGAGGGAAGCAGGCACGGACTACAGCAGCACTGGTTGACACTGCTGCTCGGGAGTCTGAAGCCCTGGGGGAGACCTGGGTTCAATTCCCAGCCCACCCTTAAGGCCAGTACTGTGGTGCTCGCCTGTGGTCTCAGCTATCTGGAGGGTGAGGCGGGAGGATCATGACATAGTGAGACCTTGTCTAAATGAAAGAAAGACAGAAAGACAGACCTGAGGGAAGCATGGAGACGCCACATGGACCTGGCAAGAGAGCATTCCAGGAAGAAGGAACAGCAAGTGAGGAGCCTGAGGCAGGAGGTCTGTGTGGCTGGAACAGCACGATGGGAGCAGTGGGAGGTAAGCTCAGCCAGAAGGAGCTCAGCTCGTGCGAGCTGGGGGCCTCGTAGGGCTGTGGTTTTTCAAGATGGGAGCCACTGCAGGCTCTGAGCAGAGGAGGGGCAGAATTTGGTGTGGGTATTAACAGGAACCTTCTAGTGAATGGCGTGATGACTGAGGGTATCTAGGAGACTCCGTTCGCCACTGAAAGTCCCCGCAACTCTTTCTGTCTTGTTTAGTTTTTGCTATAGGGTGTGTGCTCTCACCCGAG